AATTGGGGGGTGGGCGACTTTGGTGGATTTTTCGTTACTTCTTTTACAACATCTATGCCTAATGAAAATGAGTTCCTGAGATTAAAAAAAAAAGCCCTTGATCAGAGGATGGGTGGGATAGGGGGGTACCAATCCCCATGAGTGCGCAGGGCCCTCAAACATTCAAACACTAGAGAGGGGCACTTTGCATGGAGGGAGGTCGGTCTACTTGTTCGCTCCCACTTACCTCGAAATCTGAGGGGGAAACAGGCAGATCGCAAGAGAAGCACCGTCCAGTTCGCAAGAAGAGCCATCATCAGAACATAGAAAGGATCAGAAAAGGTCCAGTTAGCGCAATGCCACTCCAGCAAAACTTGTAAACCCGCGGAGGTCACGCCAATGAGCGCAGGTCAGCAACATGGGGCCACTGACACAGAAGGCAGGCTGGTGCCTAAGAGCAAATTAAAAGCTTCCCACCCCCACCCCCTAATCTTGCTGGGTGGTTAGAAAAGGTTCCGGAGGAGACTGGAGGCCCTGATTTTGTGGGACTGAAGGACCCCCTTTTGGTGGGCAGTTCAAACTTCACAGGAGCTCTCCCTGGTGCTGAATCTGGATCCAGAAATTTAGACAGCTTCTGTTAAAGTTCAGAATATAAAAGCCTGCACAGATCCGGCGCCCCTGCAGAAGATGGGTTACCGGCTCCCACTGGCGTCAACTCCCAGGTAAATGTGGCCAGGATTGCACCCAAGCACATCGGTAATCTAAATAAACTCCTTCCGAATGGAAGAACAAGTAACTCTACCACACCTGTCTTTTCAAAAGCCACAAACAGTATGTGTTGTTTTATTTTATTGCAGTGGTTCCCGACCTTGGGTCTCCAGATGTTCTTAGACTACAACTCCCAGAAGCCTTCGCCCTGAGCTGGGCTGGCCAGGATTTCTGGGAATTGTTGTCCCACGAACATCTGGGGACCCAAGGTTGGGAACCACAACACCCAACCGCAACAACAGCTGAGTTCCAGCCCCTTTGGGTCAAAAAGGCAAAGCTAGTAGAAATACTTTTTAGAAAAAGCTGTGGGCCAAGGAGAAAATATACATGTATATAAAGTCAGTTGGGAGAGTTGTATTGAAAAAGCATTCTTGACATATATCTCTCTCTCATACACACACCCCACAGACAGAAGGAAAACAGAAAGCTTTCCCATTGATTTTCTTTTCCCATCAGTCACCCCATAAGTTAGAAAGATGTTTCAAACACCCACCTTTCAAACACCAAAATATATTAGGGTTCATGTCATCGCAAACATCTGGAATGCAGAAAGAGGAGAGAGAGAGAGAGATGAGTGCATCGTCCATGTTTTAAATATGTATCTCCATAAGTTACAAAAGAGGAAGGGTGTTACGTGTCCCATCTGCCTGAACAGGAGAGCCGGCTCTGCATAGTGGCCCACCCCCTAGTTTCATGGAACCCCCTAGATTCTGTGTGATCTTTAGTGGATAAATATAGGAGTGACTAAATATAATCAATAAACGGTGCCCTTGGTAATCCCATATTTCTTGGGGGGGGGTCACTT